CCAAACCCCTCCCCCCCCCCACCCCCCCCGAATCCATGCCTGCCCACCTCCGCCCAAAAAAATGGAGACAGCTTAATTTATTTTACAAAACATTTTTTAGGGAATATCGAAGGGAAGTCAAACAAAAAGTGCGTTTTTGTTCTTAAAGTACAGTTGTTTATTGGTAGTGGGGCCTACACAAGTATCATTAATTCATGAAAGGGGATGAATTGAAGAGGGGGTGTTAATAGGTAAAGTTCTATTTTTTGTTCATTGGGTGCTAGAAAAATATTTGTAAAAGGCTTTTTGTTTTCAAATAAGAGTCACCGTGGTGTCGCTAAGCCACAACAGCAAAACACAACAGGTCCACAACAAAACAATGTAATCAAACAACGATTCATTCAGACAACTTCAACTTATTTGAAGATGTCCTGAAGTAATCAAAGAAGCTGTTCTTGCAGACTGAAGTGGGGGCCACTAGAAATGCCTTTAAGATTAATCCACCAGGGAACAAGTGAAGACGACTGTTTTCAACACGAAATTGTAGTCTATTCATCCCCGCCCGTTGCCACTTTATAATACAAAGAAAGAGAAGAGAAACACTGCCCCCCCCCCCATAAATGTGATCTAGCCCCGCCCCTCACATAAGGAATTAGCAACAACTGGCCTGTCGGTGACCCTTTTCTTTCAATCCCCCAACAATAAATGCTTCTGATCCATCAGTGATTTAGCTGTCAACTCATTGTTTTTATTGCATGAAGTAAATTTGTGATTGGGTTTGATATAATTTCTAAGGAATTTCTTTTGATATCCTCATTATGAAGCCTGCATGCATGGGCGTCGTGAGGGGGGGGGGGGGCAAGGGGGCACTCCCCCCCCCTCCCTCCCTGGAAAACGGGGGGGGGGGGGGGGAGGAAAAGGGGAGGGGGGTAAGGAAAAAGAGGTGCGACCCATATTGCTGTTAATTTAATTTGATGGGGGGGGGGTAGGGCAAATTCTCCCCTGCTGACGCTCGGAAAAGTGATAAATTGAGAATTTTGGGGAAAAATTTGTGTAGACGCCCATGCCTGCATGCCTGATTACAAAACCCAAGTGGTGACCCAGCTGTAGAATTCAGAGGCGGGAGATTGGTCCCATCACTGAGGGAGGAATGGAGGCATAACACAACAATCATCTAACCTCAAAGATTTCTCCTTGATTGACTCAAGTCATTGCATGCAATGATTATTACATGATAATAATAATACAAAGTACACAATGTCATATAAAATCCCGGACGTCTTAAACTTTGCCCAAAATATCTGGAAAAACAAAAGAAGAGATCAGAAATGTTTTTGCACCAATAACAAATAATACAATGACTTACAAATTCCAACATTTCTCTACACATAGTTAACCAATAAACTTACTTCCGCCAAACAGTGCAAATATCAGATATATAATTTTTATTTTCAAGTTAATCCTAAAGGGGCCGGGTTATTTTGACCATCTCTTCAGCCGGAAGGGGGGGGGGCGGGGCGGATTCCGCCCCCCCTAAGATCTCGGCCATCGAGTGACGCAACAATTTTGAAACTCGGCACATGCATAGAGCAACTCTTCCTAAACATACCCAAGAAATTTCATGACTATAGGTCAAAGGGTTTTGGAATTATGGGCTAATTAATTATTCATATGTACGAATGGTGGCTTTCTGCTCTTGTACACGGCGTTTACGTTTATGCAAAAATTCAGTTTTCACGGCGCATAGCGCCAGAAAGTTTTTGCTAACGCGGCAACCCGTGGTCCGGATTTTTATGTTTTTTGGTATCAAAAGATGCGCAAAGCTCGAGGCTAAAAAGTCCTAAACAGCTCGGGTCGCCGAAAATTTTTTTTTAGAGGCTAATCACGGAAAATGTTGAGGGGGGGGGGGGCATTCCGCCCCCCCCCGGCCCCTTTAGGGTTAAGACAAGATAAGTTTGGCGGTAGCACCTTGTGAATAAATCTCTTTTGTGAGTATGTGTGGTTCTGAAAAGAACTAGAGGGACTTAATGTTTCGAACAGTTTGCTCGATCGATCTGCCCATCGTCAGGAGAATGAGGGATTCCAACGATGATGAGATTTATACGCGATGGGTGCAGGGAGGCATGAAAAGAAAAGGATGCAAACTGGTGAAGCTCGAAACCGGTGAAGCTGAGAAGGATGCAAGTTGACTGATTTATTCACATGGTGCAACCGCAAAACTAATCTTATCGTAGTATCATCTTTCCACCATGCAAACTTCTTTCAAATCTGTTTTTAAGTTAAATAAACAAATTGACTGTAGCAGGATGACTGTTCCGGATTACCGTACCGGAACAGGAATCCGGAGGTCACAGGGGTCAAACCAAGCTCCAGTCAATTTCTTTGTTCAACTTTCACGTTATTATAATGCACCGAGTCAGTTCTCCTTTGTGGTTTATTTTTATGACAGAAACCAAACTATCCAGAAGTCAGCAGATTATCTTGACTTAGAGTCCGTGCCCGATGATGACCTTATCTTACAGAGTTGCAATTTAATGATCACAAAGATACAATTACAATTATGTAGTTTGTAAACCATGGCTTAAAGGCATAGGACATTTTGTATTTCATGCAATTTGTTTGTTTCCAATATATGTAATATTATCACTGTTCACGAGAAGAATACTCTAAACCTAAACCAGACATTTGAAGCTTTGGATATTACACTTTTCAAGAAAAGAGTGAAATTATCCATGCACAAAACTTTTGATCAATAAACGCGATTTCGTCCATAGAACTCTTATTCAAAAATCAGTCAATTGACTTGGAAATCACCTACATTTTTTTATTTCTTCTTAATGACAGCAAGCCAGATGGAATAATTTCACGGGGTGTTTAGTACCAGTACGATCTTTAATCCAAGTGAGCTTTTTGATTACAATTCGGTAGGTTTACTTTTGGGATAAATACAAATGATCCCATCCCGATATCCCTTGAAATATGTAAATTAATGAGTAAAAAAAATCCCCGTCATTTAAAATTGCACTCAGTTCAGCTTCGTAAATACAGTGTTTAAATCTCATTTTAATCAAAATCTTGTCATGCCAGCAACAACAGTTAAACATTTTAACATTCAGTTTTCATTTCCAATGGTGAATAAATCAAAATGTTGATTCAAAGTATACTTTTTCTC